TCAGCTGCTAGGTGAGACAGGAAGTGAGCCAACTACATGGCACCAGTGAAGCCTTTGAAAGCCAGAGTCACAGCATCGACTATCTGTGGCCTGACTCTGCCACCCTGGTGCCCAGCATACAGAAAGCGCTCAGTGCCTGTTAATCAAAGGAAAGGAAAGAGTAGATCATAGAACACTCAGGCCTCCAGTTCCTGGGGTCAGAGATTCTGAGAAAGAGAAATGACAGCCAGAAACTGGCCTGGCTCCATAGCCCAACTTTGGTGTTGCTATGAGCTAGCCTGGCACCCATGGTGAGACTACTGTGCTCTCCTGTGGATAATAAACAATCTCACAGACCATCACCAGACAGGGGCACTCTGTTATTTTTGTTCAGTTGCTAAGCTGTATCCAACTCTTTGTGACCCCATGGAATTGCAGCATGACAGGCTTCCCTGTCCTTCACTATTTTCCAGAATTTGCTCATACTCAGGTCGAGTCAATAATGCCACCCAACCATTTCATCCTCTGTTGCCCCCTTCTCTTCTTGCCCTCAGTCTTTCCCAGAATCAGGGTCTTGTCCAATGAGTTGACTCTTCGTATCAGGTGGCCAAAGTATTGGAGCTTCACCTTCAGCATCAGTCTTTCCAATGAATATTCAAGGTTCATTTGCTTCAGGAGTGACTGGCTTGATCTCCTTGCAGTCCAAGGGACTCTCAAGAGTCTTCTCCGGAACAATTTGAAAGCATCAATTCTTCTGTACTCAGCCTTCTTTATGGTCCAGTTCTCACATCTGGTCCAGTACATGACTACTAGAAAAACCAATGGCTCAAGAGGTGAAGAATTCACTTGCAATGCAGGAAATGCAGAAGACTCAGGTTTGATCTCCGGGTCAGGAAGATTCCCTGGAGAAGAAAACAGCAACCCAGTCCAGTATTCTTGCCTGGGAAATCCCATGGACAGAGGAGCCTGGTGAGCTTGTCCATAGGGTCACAAAGAGTCGGACACAACTGAGCACACACATGCAACCCTAACCTTGACTATATGAATCTTTTTAGACAAAGTGAGGTCTGGGTCTCTGCTTTTTAATATGCTGTCAAGGTTTGTCACAGCTTCCATTCCAAGGAGCGTCTTTTACAATTTCATGGCTGCTGTGTGATGGTGATACAAACACCAGATGACTCTATGATCATTTTGTCTCCATAAAACAGACAAAACATGATCATCCAAACCACAAATAGGACCAGACACCTCCCTTCCCTGGCTGTTGAGTGACTGCTGCTTCTTTACAATCCCAGCTTTATAGCCTTACTTTCTCAGTGAAAATTAGGATGCTGGGTCACAGAATTCTCCTGCTTCTTGATGATATCCAATCCAGAACAAAGCCTTCCCCAAAGCCCCAGACAGGCACCTAAGTCCTCTAAAGTCCTAAAAGCCTTGGGCTGAGACTCCCCATGGCATGTGACTTCCTCCATTCGATGAATCAGTAAAACCAAGTTTGGGGCTTCCCTGGTGGCTCAGTGGTAAAGAATCTGCGGGCCAATGCAGGAGACACAGGTTTGATCACTGGTCCGGGAAGATTCCACATGCTGCAAAACAACTAAGCCTGTGTACCACAACTCTTGAGCCTGTGCCTTAGAGCCCGGAAGCCACGACTACTGAAGCCCTCTTGCCCCAGAGCTGGTACTCCACATCAAGAGAAGTCACCGCAATGAGAAGCCTGAGGACTGCAACTGGAGAGCAGTTCCTGTTCATCACAACTTGAGAAAAGCCTGAACAGCAACAAAGACTCAGCACCGCCAAAAAGAAAAATAAAAAAAAAAATAAAATCAACTTTGTTCAGTTATGTGTTCTGAAGGGTCTTTGACTACAGGGAACTAACAACCCTTAGCCATAAACATCCTTCCCAGGCTAGCAGTGCCAATGGTTGCAACTGTGCCTATAACCTGGAAAGCAGAGACAGGAAATAAGCACAGCAGGGGATAAAATCGGTGGCAGCGGAGGACTGACCCCTGCAGAGAGCCTTCCCAAGGCCAGCCCTAGATTGTGCAATGTTCTGTCCCTTTCTCCCACTAAAAGGAAGCTCATTAGAAAAGAGAAACTTATTAATATTATAGGATTACCCAGGTGCCTACACACATATACAATAAACCCGTTCACTAACTTCAGTACTTTAAAAATTACAAATTACTTGCGATTCAAGTTACAAATGGTGGACACAGCATTAAAGAATACAAACTCTTCAGAGTCCTACAACCAACTGGAATGATGAGCCAGAAAAGTCTGTCCTGTTTTTCAGTGTCTGACCTGAAAAAGTTACTTAAACTGAGCCTGTTTCCCACAGGCTCCACAACAGACACCATCAAACTCCTGTGAGATAACAGACTTTTAACCTGCACACAGTTAAAAGTGATGATGGGTAGGGCTCGGTCACCAGTCACTTGGTAATGTTTCCCACCTCACAGCCCCTCTTCCCTACTGAACTGACAATTCCTCTGTCACTCCGTCTCACCCAAAAGGCTAGAAACATCTGGAGCCCAGGAGGTGTCTTACTATTCTCGGCTCTCTACCCTCTACTAGTCCCTACTAAGAACTGGCACATGACCGGGACTCGGCAAAGGCTTGATGATTGAAAAATATCAAAACTTGAGTGCTGGGGCCTCCCTGGTGGCTCAATGGTAAAAGAGTCGGCCTGCCAATACAGAGACAGAGGTTCGATCCCTGGTCAGGGAAGGTCCCACACGCCGCAGAGCAACTCAGCTCATGAGTCACAACTACTGAGCCTGTGCTCTGCAGTCCAAGTTCCACAACAGAGAAGCCAACACAATGAGAAGCCCGCACAGCAACGAAGACCCAAGACAACCAAAAATTAATAAAACTTAAAAAAAAAAAATTGTCAGCTAAAATCAAAATTGAATAGATTCAAATTCAAGTGATTTTTTTTCTCCCCTTTGATGCCTCCCAGATATGCGGCAGCTTAATTTGGATATAAACCTTTCCTAAACACTAGGTTTGCAGCTTGTCCTGTGCCCCTGGGACTGACCACAAGCCTGCAAATGGGATCCATCCAACAAGACCACATTTACTGATGACTTCATTGAAGAAACTTTAATCAACATTTACTTCTAGAACAAACTGCTGTATGTGTACCTGAAGCACAGCAGGTGTTTAAAGAAGGGAACTGCACTTGGCTCACAGGTATGAAGGCCTATGAAACCCACCAAGCATTTCCTTGTGCTGTGGAACATGCAGGTGTTTTTCAGAAACGTAGTTTAACTTTGTTGCTTATATTTATCCCTGAATTTAACCTAAGAGCTTTCAAGGATCATATCAAGAAGCAGTTTTATCAAGTTTTCTCAGCTAAGACCTAGTGCCCAGTTTGTGTAAAAACTATGTACCATCCAGACCAAAATAGTCTTGGGAGAAAAATAAAGCACTCCTAACAGCAGGTTTCCTAACAATGTGTGAGCCAACTATTTTTAAAGAGCACCTGGAGAGCGAAAAAGAGAAGGAATTCAACAAGGAAAAGAAAGTCTCTTCAATGCTCAGTCCTGATTGACTTTGATCCTGAAACTTGATCTAGCAGGAATTCTGATGCCTCTAGGTTTGGTAGCTATAATCCAAGCTTCAAAACAGAGGGCAAGACGAGTGACATGACCGTCTAAGGATTGTGCAAAGTCAGCACTGGGGGATTAGGGCTCTCAACACAAACACCTTTACAGCAGGATGGATTCATGAGTCCCATCTAGAATCATCACTGAGTTGATCACGGCCTTTCTATTGCCATCTGTGAAGCTTTCTGGATGGTTCACTGCTCGCTGGGCACACTGTGAAGATTACACACTGGGAGAAGACAGGAAAGTCAGGTGACCCACTTTACTGCTTGTCAGCTTCCGTGACTGGGGGTCTGACTAGCATAAAACTTGGGGATAATCTGTGACTTTTGTTCAGCTGTGTTAGTCTCCATAAGAAAATCGATGTCTTGTTTGACAAAAGTTCTATGAAATAAAGCTGCTATCAAGCTCTCTCAGAAATAAAGGAAATATTTATCTACTCTTTGGCTCAAGATTTGAGTGAATTCCACCCTTGATCAAAGATCCAATGTAAATAAAGTGAGCAAAACCAATTCCTATTTTACTGTAAAACTGACACAAATTCTGTAACAAAGACAAAGAACCAAAATGGCACCATACTGTTTTATTTCAACCTTCAAACAATATAAAGAGGTAACAACTTCTGATGCCAAACCATGCAAAGGAACAATAAAGGAACGAAAAAAATACTGACAACAGAAGGACAGTCACTGAAAGGTGCTTCACAGCAGTGCTTTGGCAGTTCTGGCAAGTATTTCTGTTCAATGGCTTCAACACAAACGGTCTGAATGAACCCATGACCTCAGCTAAGAACTCCCACATCCTCCCTCTGGTAGTTTACACATTCTGAGCCATCACACACCACACCCTATACTTGCCAGACTTTTATATTTTTATAGTTCACCTCTTAGAACACAGAACTACGTATTGTGCGTAATTGCAACAAAAACTAAAAAACAAAACAGTGTGGCAGAAAAGTAAACGAACTCCATGTTTCCAGTAAGGCATCAGGGAATCGCTGCTGGCTGTGCCCTTCATTTCACCAGTCTGAAAAAAAGTTTGACTTATATTCCTCAGCAAACCCAATATTCAGAAGCTTAACCAGCAGGCTCAAGTTAAAAGTTTAAAAGACAGTCCTTTTTTTTTTTTTTGGTAAATGTTTCATATAAAACATGAAATCAAGTTCCACTTTATTAAAAAAAAACAACGGAGCATTTTTAATAGTAAAAATATATATATATGTTTGTATCTCTCTTTTTAAAAAGACATTTAATAACAATACTTCAGAAGACTAGATTTAACCCTCAACCCCTCACCCTGCCAAGCTGTCCACCTGGCAGATACATTAAGGCAAAGGCTCAGAGAGGCGTGGCCACCTCGGCGGTGGGCTGGGGACGCGAGAGGAACACACTCCGCTCGTGCAGGATCCGTTCAGAATGGCTTCTCCCTCATGTTCACAGAGCCGTCCTGCATCCCGAAGTAGACTCTCTCCGCCATGTTGATGAACAGCCCCGTGTCCACCACGCCTGTGGGACGAAGGGCAGAAGGAAGTGTTAAGTTTCAGCCTCCCAAGGCAGTAAGAAAACCAGGATCACTGGGTCCATAGGAGTGACCACCATCAACAGTACCAGACAAATGATACATCTTAAGACTTCCCTCCTGCATGGTGATGAAAACACATTCTGGTTATTTTTGTTTCCTCTTGCAATCTCTCCCCCTCTGGGATCCTAGATTTCTCTCTGTACTGAAATGTGCAAGATTTTTCCTGCCTCAGGCCCTTTGCTCACACAGTTGCCTTTATCCGGACCAGTCATCTTCTCAGAGAGGCCCTCCATCATGACTCTAAGTGCTCCCATTCCCAGTGAGAATGGGATTGAGGAATCACACCATCAGCCTTAGAAGCTTTTCCCACAAAGGGCTGAAAGATACTTGCAATGCATATACTATGTCAAAATGAATAAACTCTCCAGAACAGTAAGACAACAGACAATCTAGTAAAAAAATGGGCAAAAGACTTAAAAGATACTTCACAAAAGAGGTTCTCCAAAACGGCCAATAAACATAGAAAACAGTGCTCAAACTAGTCAATAGAGAATGCAGGGACTTCCCCAGCAGCCCAATGGTTAAGACTCTGCACCGCCAATGCAGGGGACATGGGTTCTGTCCCTGGTCAAGGAACTAAGGTCCCACAAGCTGCAAGGTGTGGCAAAAAAATTAAGGAAAAAAAAAGAATAAAATAAAGGGTACATTTAAAAAAAGAGAGAGAATGCAAATCAAGACACCACTACACACTCAACAGGATGAGTATAATGAAATTTGACTGGAATGCAAAGACACTCCCACACATTGACTATAGAAGTAAACTGGCAAAAAATCATGTTGGAAAATGTTTCTTGGTGTATCTTCTAAAGCTGAACATATTCATACCTGATGATCCAGCAACTCTACTCCTCAGTATATATCAGGTATATATATATGATCCTCACAAGATATATAAGAGAATGTGCCCAACAGCTAAAAACTAGAAACACCCAAATGCCCTTAAGAGTGGAATGGATACAGACATTTTTTCACACACAAAAATGATGGTCTACTATTTAACAGTGCAAATTAATTACAACTGTTAGCAACCTTTACTGAAAATATTTCATATACACACATACTACAGTGAGATAATACTGTTCAACTACTGATGGACCCAGTGTGTAGGGAAGCACACTGGCATGCACTTCGAGCAGAAGGTAAACTAATGCCATCCGTGGAAGGCAATTCTGCACTATCTGGCAAAATCAGATACACTTATTCTTTCAACTGGTAATCCCCTTCTAAGAAAGGATTGGAAACGAATATCTGCTCATGCGGATCTGCCTAAATAAATTATGTAAGAGTCACAAGATGAAATGCCATATTATTATTAAGGGGAAAAAAAAGAATGAGGAAGTTCTTTTGTGAACCATTATATAATAACCTTCAAAGTGGGGAAAAAACAGGAAGCAAAACATGTGCCAAGTATGCTGTCAATTGTGTACACAAAGAGATGGGGGTGGAGGAGTTGACTTGTGTTTATGCAAGATCAACTCAAGAAGGACACACACACACACAAGGACACGCACTGTGTCCTTGGAAGCACTGGCTGTCTTTAGACAAGGGGAAAGTGGAGGGATGGAAGACAGAGACTTTTCACTGTTTATTATTAACATTTTGAAGTATGTAAATTCAAAAGGATAAAAAAATTTTCAGACAGCCCCCCATACATAAATAAAATCATCTACCAGCACTGCACCTACACAACAGGGGCCTCCCAAAGACATGCCCAGTGGCCACTCAAGACCCAGGCTTCTCAAAAATTCTACTGAGTCAAAAAGTTCCTTAGAGTTTTTCCATAACATTTCAAGGAAAAATCTGAACAAACTTTTGGGCCAACCCAATATAATATAAGGTGACAGCGTCCACCTGATTCAAGAGAAAGCCAAACCAAGTTCAGAAAAGACTTTAATGATTTTAGAGTACAGATGCAGGGCAGCTGTCAAAGGTCTGATCTCAAGAGCCACCTCTCCTCAGGTTATTAGGATGCTGGGAGTGACTAACCCATTCCTACACCCATCCCCAGATTAGTGGAAAGGGGAGAGGTGGCTTGGTGTGAACAAGGGGGAAAGCACCCCGCTGACTTTGGCCCTTCTCTGCTCCAGGTGTAGCAGTGGAACACCCAAGGGTGTGGGCAGCCAGGGGCCAGTTCTGCTGCCCTCTAGGCGTCCTCACATAAATGGACGTGCATGGGACACAGGCAGGGTGACAGAGATAGACAGGGAAACTTGCCTTCCTCTCCCTCCTTGACCCAGGTCCAGCATCATGTATTACAACAGACCAAAGAGGAAGAGAAAAAGAGAAGGAGAGAACAAACCACATGGATGATCCTGGAGGCACTGTGCTAAATAATTCAGCATCTAGCTTCTCTGTTTACGCTGTCTTCACTTTAAGTTCCTAATGAAGCTCTGAACTTCTCTAGGATGTAGCTTCTGCTGACTGAGGTGGAGACCAAAGTATGGGAGAAATCTGCTCACAAAGGACATCTCAGTGTCTCAATTATCCTCAAAAGGTCTGCGCAGGTGCACCAGAGCCCCCTAGTGGGCACTGCAAGTAATCCTCCCTCAGAGGAACAGCGCCCTCACTGGTGGGCGGTTTCCTACAGGGTCCCCTGCATTTGCATTATCACCTGGGCTAATTCTTCCAGATTATCAACAGTGAGCTGGCAGAAGAACTCCCTATAACACATGGCACAGCACCTCGCCCACGGCAGGAATCTAATGAGCATGGGTGAACTGAGTCATTCTTCTCCAAAGAACAGGCCAGAATCAAAGAGGTGGCAGTCAAGCTCTTTGCAGAGAGGGTGGGTTTATTTCAAGGCAAGCCCCCTGACACTCCCATGCCTGCCCCAATTGAAACGGGTTGTGAAATGCCAACTAACAAAGCTCCTAGGTGAGCAGTACTGTTTTCAGGAGGAAAAGGCAAAGGCGTGAAGTTAGAAATTCCAAACATGTTATAAAGCAAATTCTTCCCACCCAAGTCTCAAAGCCACAGCAATTGTGCCTCCCATGGCCAGAGGCAGGGGACAGCTATGAAGAGCCTGGGTGTCTACACTCAAGAATTTTTGTTACCTGGGATCATTTTGATGGCTGTGTTCACTTCACTCCATTTGTGGACCCGGTCAAACTTCCAGTCCAGGATAAAGTTCCCATTATCTGTCACCACAGGACCCTAGAAGATAATTGTCCACACTGAGGAGGTGATGTAGATTCAGGCAGACAGAGGGGGCAGGAGAGTGGAGGTGATAACCAAGGACAGGTATCTTAAGCAACCCGCTCCAACCAGTACTCCCACCTCATGCTTTCTATTAAGCAACCCGCTCCAACCAGTACTCCCACCTCATGCTTTCTATTAAGCAACCCGCTCCAACCAGTACTCCCACCTCATGCTTTCTATTACTAGAAGGCAGTGCTATGAAGCAGTAATGAGCAGCAGTCCTGAAGCCACCGAGGCAGACATCTCACAGGAGCCATTTTCCTCTGTGAGCCTCAGATTCCTCTATGGCAAGGAAGGGATAATGAAACCTACCTCCTTCAGGAGCTTATGCGTAAACCACATGGGTAAGCATTTACCACAGTGAGGGCACAGTGATGCTTAGCCATCATTAGAGTGAAAAACTACAGCAAGAGAACAGGCAACCAACACGGCTCAGTGCTCCCAGAGCTTCACACTGAGAACCATCAGTGATGCAACGAAAGACAACATTCCCCCCAGATCAGGCAGACCCAGCGAAAAGATGGAGCAGTGAGGGGTCCTGGGGTCACAGGGGCTGGGGGTAGTTTTAGTTAATTAACCCAGAATTCCACAGCAGCTTTGGGCACTAGAGAGCTTACAGGACCACAAATGTTGGCAGAACACAAAGACTGTTCTGCAAAACGGAGGAGTGGGAGCCCAGTAAGAACACCCAAAGGCAAGATGCTGGGCTCCTGCGTGGAGGAACCCCAGCTCTGAGAGAGAACCCTGCAATCTCCTCTTGAATCCTCAGCTACTCAGGGAGCCAGAGTTGGAGCTTGGGACAGCTATGATTAAGACTGTGGTTTTTTTAAAAAGTCACAAAACACCAGGAAGAAAACACATTAAAATAAAATAAAAGTTCATCAGGGAAGAGTTACAGATAAGTTGCTTTCTCTCCTGTATGTTTCAAACTTTTTATATATAGTTCTGTCTGCAACTATAGTTAGTTTTTGAATTATTACTACTGCTTTTTAATTAAATGTAAGAAAAAAAGTTCTGTTCAACCCACTTTAGAAGCTGAAGTGAAGCATTTGGACTAAGTATCTGGAGTGTATTCCTGGGGAGGAGCTTAAATCCCCCAAGGAACTCTACTTCATTTAACCACAGGATAAGAAAAGAGGAAAAAAGAAAATTATACCACAAAACCTGAATAACTCTCTGCCCCAGGAGGGACTCCCGAAACCCACTTTTAGCAGCTGTTAGAGAGATCCAGGTACAAAGATCAGATCACCTGAGGAGCATCAGATTCCAAGGGACAGAAAACATGCCCTTTGTACAGGGAATATATAGTGTATTAAGTATAGTCTTGTCTACATGAGTTTGAATATGGAAACTGATAAAGCCAGTGCTCTGCAAATAAGCCAACAGGCTGATTAAAAATAAACAGAGAACTTCCGTGGTGGCACAGTGGATTAAGAATCTTTCTGCCAATGCAGAGGACAAGATTTCTATCCCTGGTCTGCAAAGATTCCACACGCCACAGGGCAACTAAGACCATGTGCCACAACTACTGAGCCTCAGTGCTGCAACTACTGAAGCCCACGCACTTGGAGCCTGTGCTCTGCAACAAGAGAAGTCACCACAATGAGAAGCCCACACTTCTAGAGTAGCCCTGACTCGCCAAAACTAGAGAAAGCCCTTGTGCAGCAATGAAGACACAGTGCAGCCAATAAATAAATAATGAACAGAAGCCACCTGCCCAGTCTGGGTACAGAAGACCTAACGGAAGCAGGAGGACAGGCCCTGAGAGCCGGGGACACCTTCCAGAAACCCAGCCACTCACTGCCTTGTTGACGGCCATGCGAAGTTCAATCACGCCCCCAAACTTCTGGGTCACAGTTCGGCTCACTGGGACATAGGCCATAGGGATGACCTCAATGGGGATGCCCTTGTGCCACTGATCCCCGAGGTTCTTTGAATCTTTCCTGGAAAGAAAAGAGTCAGAAGTACAACAGATGTCAATAAGCTCAACGGTACAGACACGCCAAATTCAGAGTCACTAACGAGGTGAGAGGGCAAGGGAAGCGAGCAGGGCCAAGTGTACAGGCTTCAAATGGACTGGCTGTGCTTGACTGTTTTAAAAAAAAACTATGTGCAGTAAATATGACATCAATGTTAAAACCTGGATATGACTGGTTTGTGGTTAAACAGGTGTGAGGAACATAATCGTTTATGCTCTTCCTACAGCTGTAATTTTTTTTTAATTAACATGCTCAGCACAAGTGCCTTCTAGTAGACTCTGAGAGCCTGGTCAAAGACTGTCCACTACACAAATCACATGTGGCACAGGGGAAACGGGTGCTGGGTCACTGCCCAGGGGCAGGCTTGACCTGCTTCCTCCAAGACTCCTTGCAGGGAGCAAAAGGAGTGAATGAGTGATCAATAAGGACATGCTCTGTTAACGAGTGTGACATCTGTTTCTTCCTTCCAGCGGACATAAGAAAGAGCAGTATCTTCCTTCAGCACCAAAGCAGAACATAATTGTCCAAGGCACTCTCCTGAGTCACAGGAAGGAGGAGCGCCCCTCCCTCCAGCTCTGTTTTCTCCTCCATAAAATACGGGCTGGCGTTTGAGGCATCTCCTCAGTGGGCAGTTCAGAAACACTGAACATCGTACCTGAAATCGGCAATCACGATGAAGCGACTGGCATTGCCGGCCACAATCTTCTCCTGGGTCAGGCAGCCTCTGGGAAATGGGGAAGAAGCAAAGGAACACACATGGGGCTAAGTAAGACAAAATCTGAATTTGGGAACTAAAGTCAGATACAGGAAACCAAAATCCATTCAGTTCTGACACTTAGAAATTTAATTCTTAATTCTTAAAAGGACAGCCCCCCTAACTCTATCACACTGTGCAACAGACTAAATTGTGTCTCCCTACCCTCAGGCCCCCCAAATTCATCTGTTGAAGGCCTAATCCCTAACGTGACTGTATGTGAAAGATGAGGTCTCTAAGGAAGTAACTGTGGTTCAATGAGGTTACTGAAGTGGGGCTCTGCTCTGATTAGGATGGGTATCCTTCTAAGATGATACCAAAAAGCTCTTACTCTCTCTCCCTCCACCACAGGAGGCTACACTGGGAAGGCAGCCATCTGCAAGCCCAGGGCTTCAGAACTGTGACAAACAAATTTCTCCCTTGAAGTCACCACGTCTAAGACTATTGTTATGGCACCTGGGCTAAGACCTGCTGCTTCCAGTAAATGGACTATGGAAACAGAAGTCTCTGGGAGAAAGGGTTCCCAGTGGGGCCACAGGCATAACCCAACTAAGATGCATCTGCCAGGGAGCACGGTGCCTGGGGGAGGTCATGTGACTGTGGCATGAAGAGGAAGAGTAAGGACAAGCTTTGAACAACCTTCCCTCTCTGCCATTTGACAGCCAGAGTTATGAAGCAGAGAGAGCACAGCGAGACTTTAAGCCCATGTTGTGTCACTGCAGAGTCTGGCTGATTATAAGAATGAGGAGACAAGGACTTCGCCTTCTTCAACTCACCACTTCCTAACTCCCCCAAATTAACACTCAAGAAACACCTAACAAATGTTTTCCAAAGTAACAAATACACACATCATTCCCGCTCAGAGCCCACAGACCTAGTAATCTAGTCCCAGTAATGTGTTTGCTTTAGGCTATGCAATTTTTTTTTTTTTTTTGGCTGTACAATTTTTAAAGTTGGAATCAGCAGAAGGCAGCAGACAGAGAACCCATTAAGAAGAATCACTTCATTGACCAGGTTTGGGTCCCTGTCACCAGACTGCTACTAACAACCAAAAATGCCCAGCTGGCTCTACAGTCTTATGCTATCAACATCCAAGAAGAAAGACAAACTCATGTGTATCACAGAGGCACTGTGCTTATCCTGCATTCCACTTGGCTTTGCTAAGGATTAACTGGCAGATACTTGGCAAAAAAAGGCCCCACAACTCACCCACCACCCTTGATGAGGTTGAGGTCAGCATCAACTTCATCAGCACCATCGATGGCAAGATCGATCTGCATTGAAGAAAGATACAAAAACCACTGAGACCCTTGTGAGGGCAGGCTCTGTGCTAAGCATGAACCTGCAACAGCTCATCAGACCCCAGCTGCCCTATTGGCCAAGCACAGTTATTATTCCTATTTAACCAGTTAGGAAACTAAGACTCTCAGTGGTTAAGTTATTCCACTAGGGTCATGAGGAAACACATATGGACCACACATGGGTACAGCTCTCATCCACCACTTTATAATTCCTCCACTCTTTGATGGGCTTCTCTCTGGACAAGCTGGAATTACTGAGCATGCAATCTCAGTGTAAGTAACTTCACCTCCAAGTATAGAAAGAGATATATAGTGTATCTGTGAGATTAAAATTTCCTTGGAAGCAGGAAATAATGGAAAAAAATCTGAGAAGCACTGATTCAGAAATGTCTGAACTAATATGGCAAAAACACAGGTATGCTGACACACATCTGATATGATTTAAAATTGGAAAATTTCTGAGATGCCGCCCCCATGATCCCACTAAAGCACCTGTCTGGGCTTGCCCACTGCCTTTAACAGGAAGTTCCACTGCCTGCCCAAAAGCAGTGAAGGAGGAGAATAGGTTCATTCATGTCTCAAAATTTGAAATCAAGGAAGAGATATATTGATACTTCTCATCACTCCTGGTACTCTGCATGGACCATATGGGAGCCTCAGGAATGGTTTTTCTAAAAACATTAGTATAAAGAAGGAAATTGTAAGCCACTCCAGTATTCTTGCCTGGAAAATCCCATAGACAAGAGAAGCCTGGTGGGTTACAGTCCATGGGGCCACAAAGAGTGGGACAGGACTGAGCGACTGAGCACACATAAAACCTCAGGGTGCAAATTCAGTTCAAGCTGCAAGTCAGAAGTTGCCTGATACGGAGCCACCAAAACTTCAGTGGGGCAGCCTCACTTCTGCCTTTTTACCAGGATGAAGTGACAGCCCACAATGCTCCTCCCCACCCTGCACTGACCCCAGCTGCACCACAGCCAGCTCTCTGGGGACTGGAGGGAGGCAATCTTTTCTGCGTGGGTCCCATGTCCACCTTCAGCCCAAAGTATTCTATCACTTGGTCCTAGACATCCCAACCAGTCTGGGCATTGCCCGCTTATGCCCACATGCTAGCCTGGAGCTGCTCCCAGGGTTCCCATCCTCGCTGGAATGCTCTCTCCTGCCACCTAGCCATCACAGCTCTGCTCAAATTTTCACCTCTTCCCACAAAACCCCTCTAAGCAGCAGCACTCTAGAGTTGGAAGTACCTGAATTCATCCTCAGGCTCTGCCATTTATAAGAAGCAAGGCCTCAGGCAAACACCTTGCCTTCTCCATGCCTTTCTCACATTTGTAAAATGGGATGGCAACAGGACGGTAATAGTTCCTACCTTCCAGACTACAGGAGCTTAAATACAGGTGACCGATCCAACAGGATCGGGTTGGAACCGTGCAGGTCCACTTAGAGGCAGATTCTGTCCACCGCATATGCACTGCAGTACTATGCAATCCATGGTTGGCTAAATACACAGACGCAGAACCACGAATACAGAAGGCCAACTATGGCATGCAAGCATCTGTGGATTCTGGTTTTCACAGTGGGTCCTGGAACCAAGCCCCTTGGACACTGAGGGATGACTGTGGTTTAATACAGACCAGCACTTAGTAGAATAACTAAGCCCTCACACAGTGAGGGCTCGGGAAATGCCAGCTGTGAGGATGCTCCACACTCTCCTCAACTTCAGTCTCTGGATTGCTCGTGCGTTCAATCGTCTTAATCATAAAACTTCATTTTAATCTGTTTTCAAAGGCCCATGCTTGCCTCAGACAATTGCTTCTTATCTCCATTTAGCAGTAAACTCCAAGGGCCAGCCTGCTCATATTACATGTCTGTGTGAGGGCTGCAGGAAGTCCTGGGTCCCTGAACCCCATCATTTAAACCACAGGGAATGTCATGGAAATTAACCACCTTCCCACTTGTGACCTCAGCCAGGATTAATATCTAAAGTCCCAGGAGAAGAGGTAGTATGGCTGGTTGACTTTCCTCCTAGACTTGATCAGATATCCTGAGCCCACAAACAAGTGACAGTCATAAAAAAGGAGGCAGAAAAACCCAGCAGCCTCTCTTACCTCTGGGTGTCGGTCCAGGTCACTGAGAGTTAAGCCATACTGCAGGATGAGCTGACGGGCCTGTGGAGAACAGGAAAAAGCACCCATAATCATCATCTCTGAGCGAGGGTGAAGATTCTCAGAAGCCACTTGGATCTAAGGGTCAGACACTCAGTACCACCAAGGCCCCTCCCAAATCCAACCTGCACCACCAAGAGATAGGGATCCAGCCCCAAGAATGGCAAAAGTTGGCCCATCCCAGGAACTGGAAGAAGGCAAACAGCACCTACTGAACATTCTGCTCCAGAGCTAGACAGAGTCCCTCCTCTGTGACCTGTTACTTAAGATGATGTCATGGCCTCCGAAAGCCTTATAATACACTACAGTTGTTGCTGTTTTACTCTCTGAGTTGTGTCTGACTCTGTGCAACTCCATGGACTGTAGTCCACCGGGTTCCTCTGACCATGAGATGGATTCTCCAGGCAAGAATACTGGAGTGGGTTACCATCCCCTTCTCTAGGGGATCTTCCTGACCCAGGGATCGAACCTAAGTCTCCTCCATTGGCAGGCAGTCTTTACTGCTGAACCACCCCGGAAGCCCAATACAGTACAGAGGTAGCCCTCATCTGTGGTTGCAGTTACCCACGGGCAACCTCGATCCAAAAATTTTACATGTGACATTCCAGAAATCACAAGTTTTAAACCGCACACCACTCTGAGTATAGCATGATGAGACCTCTGCTATCTGCTCCATCTGGTCCAAGATGTGGATCATCCCTTTCTTCAGCACACCCCATCTGGTAGTCACTGAACAGCCATCTCAGCTATCAGCCTGATGCCACAGTATCACAGTGCCTGTGTTCAACTGACCCTTACTGCACTTCATACAGGCGGCTCGGTTTACTGCACTTCGCTTTATTGTGCTTTGTTACCAGCTGAAGGCTGCGGCCACCCTGCCTCCAGGGAGCCTAAGGGCACAATTTCTCCAACAGCGTTTGCTCACGTTGTGTGTCACATTTTGGTAGTTCTCACAGTATTTCAACCTTTTTCATTATCGTTACTACATTTGTTATGGCAGCCTGTGACCAGTGAGCTTTTATGTTACTACTGTAACTGCTTTTTTCAGCAATATTTTTTAACTAAAGTATGTCCACTGCTTTTTTAGACATAATGCTATTGCACACTTACTAGAATACATTGGAGTGTAGACATAATTTCTATATGCACTGGGAAATTCAAGTAGCTCACTCTGTATCGTACTATATTATGGTGGAATGGAACCAAACCTGGAATATCTCCAAGGTAAAGCACAATAGTGATGCTGGCAATTCAGATACACCAAAGACAAGCCATAAAATGCTTTCTTAAGCACAACAGGAAAAGTTGTTAACTTAGTAAGGAAAGGAAAAATGTTATACGCTAAGGCTGCTAAGATCTAAGACTCTAAGAACAAATCTTCCATCCATGAAACTGTAAAAAAGGAAAAAGAAATTTGTGCCACTTTCACTTTTGCAACCCAAACTGCAAAAGTTATGACTACAGTGCGTAAATGCCTAGTTAAGATGGAAAAGAAATTAAATTTTACAATAGTGTATTTTGAGAGAGAAACCATGACCACATAACTTTTATCAGTATCTTGTTACAATTGTCCTATTTTATTATTAGTTGTTGTTAATCTCTTACCATGCCTAATTTACCAACTGAATGTCATCACAGGTATCTATGTATATGAAAAAATATAGTATGCATCACATTCAGTTGTATCTGCTGTTTCAGGCAGCCACTGGGGGTCTAGGAATGTATTCACGGATGAGGGGACAGGGGAAAGGGGAAGACTACCATTACTTTTTAAAACTTCCTAAACTAAGATTTTGGGCTTCTAAATCACTGCAGATGGTGACTGCAGCCATGAATATAAAAAGATGCTTGCTCCTGGGAAGAAAAGCTATGACAAACCTAGACAGCATATTAAAAAGCACAGACATCACTTTGCCGACAAAGGTAAAGCTGTGGTTTTTCCAGTAATCATGTGTGGATTTGAGAGTTGAACCATAAAAAAAAACAGAACGCCGAAGAATTGATGCTTTTGAACTGTGGTGTTGGATAAGACTCTTGAGAGTCCCTTGGACTGCAAGGAAATCAAACCAGTCAATCCTAAAGGAAATCAGGCCTGAATATTCATTGAAAGGACTGATGCTGACGCTCCAATACTTTGGCCACCTGATGTGAAGAACTGACTCACTGGAAAAGACCCTGATGCTGGGAAAGACTGAATTTGAATCCTGGGTTTTTATTTGATCCTATGAAAGATACTGCTTAATTTTTAAAGTACTGTGGAGATGTTTAAAAGTCTCCTTACTCTTCACAGAGACATACTGAAATACAAACAATGAAATTATACTATGTCTAGGATTCACTTCAAAATAACAGGCAGAGGAGAAGGGGACAACAGAGGATGAGATAGTTGGATGGCATCACCAACTCGATGGACATGAGTTTGAGCAAGCTCCAGGAGTTTGTGATGGACAGGGAAGCCTGGCGTGTTGCAGTCCATGGGGTCACAAAGAGTAGGACACAACTAAGCAACTGAACTGAAACTAAGAGCGAAATCTACAAAACATAAGAAAAGTTTTTTGTCTTAAATAATGTTGTAAAAAAAATGACAGAAGAAGATCACTATAAATTGATACACAATGACAATTTCCAGGACACACTATTGAATAAAAATAAGCAAGAGAATACCTACACTCAGAAGAGAATATAAAAGCAGGACACCAGAATGGCTGCTAGTGAGGAGCATGGCAAACTGACAGAACAGACTGGGAAAAAATCAGGATGTTTGTGGCCAAGTCAGCACCACTGACTATATTCTTACAATATATGGAGCAACCAAACATGGAAACCGTTTTACCAAAAGCCATGTCTAGAAAATATCTTCTGCCTAAAGTCAAAACTACCTGAGATTAAGAATGAGAAGGTCTTGGTTCTAATCTTAAATAAACCAGTCACATGACCCCTAGCAAGTTTTCTCACCTATAAAAAGATGAGGATAGATAATGACCAATGTCAATCTTCAAATCCTAAGACTCTAACAATAAAACACAAACACACTAGACTTTGCAATGTATGGGACCTATTTGGATCCTGATTCAAACAAACTGTAGAAAAATATTTTTAAAGGATAAGACAATAGGGGAAATTTGAATCCTAGATTTTTACTTCATCCTATGAAAGATTACTGCTTAATTTTTTAAGTATTGTGGAGATGTTTTAAAGACTCCCTACTTTTCAGAGAGACATAATGAAATACATACAGTGAAATCATACTATATCTAGGATTCACTTTAAAATAACACAGGTAGAGGAGAAAGGGTACAGATGAAAGAAAACTGGCCATGAATTGATCACTGTGGAACCTGGCGATGGGTACACAGAAGTTCACTGCATTATTCAGTATCCTTTTTGAAGTTTGAAATTTTCCATAATAAAAAGGTAAAATAAAATGCTGAGTGAATCAAGTTCAAAAGAAAAAAACCCATGATTCTGAAAGAGAAATACATAATGAAGGGAGAAAACAAGAAAAAAAGGTATTGCTGGTTCATTGCTCAGTTCCTAGGTTTCTCCCAACATGATATTGGAGAAACGATACTAATCACAGACCCTTAGGCTATAAAAACATTTGGAAGATGAACCCCCAAAGCCCCCCACACATTGTGGTATTCATGCCTTTGGGGAATCCCTGCCCATGACGTCCCAAAGTTGTCCTATGTTACCAGCTGCACACAGCAGAGGTGATGGCAAGCCCCAGCTGAGATTAATTTATAAAGAAGAAAGGGTGTGCTCCCCACAGGATTCCTCCCTCCCTTCCTCCACTCACCCTATCACATACACTAGGGAAAACCTGCTGCCAAGCCCTGAAGACACTAAGAGCCCTGGGGACAAGGCGCACTTCACAGCCTGTGAAGAAGTGAGGCCACAACATCCACTTGACAAGAGCATGGAAGCAGATCCTTCAAGCAGAGCTGAGATGCCTGCAGCCCTGTCCAACATTCAGCTGCAACCTCACCAGAGACTCAAGGCCAGAAACACCCAGCTCAACCATTCCAGATTCCTGACCCCTGGAATCTGTGAGCTCACAAATGTTTGTTGTTCTAAGCTGCTAAGTTTCGGGATCATCTGTTCCAGCAACAGGTATCTAATACAGATGCTGCTGGAATAATGATATGAACTGAATGCAGTTCAGTGTGATATCTATCACATATAAAACTGTGTTACATACTACTGGTGCTCAGTTCCTCAGCCGTGTCCAACTCTTGCGACCCTATGGACTGCAGCCTGCCAGGCTCCTCTGTCCATGTCCATTTTTCAGGCAAGAATACCAGGCTGGGTTGCCATTTCCTCCTCCAGGAGATCTTCTCAACCCAGGGATTGAATCTGTGTCTCCTGCATCTCCTGCACTGGCAGGATGATTCTTTACCACTGAGCTACCTGGGAAGCCCATTATATAACTGTATACTTTGGGTTGGCCAAAAAGTTCGTTCAGGTTCTTCCATAAGATGATACATGTGATGTAAACCTGAACAAACTTTTTGGCCAACCCACTAGTTAGAAACAATACTAAACTACATTCAAATGTATTACATGAAAGCTGATGGAAGGAAATAATTCTATCATGATTCCTATGGGGGAAAGAAATCTGTATAAAATATATCATTTTCATTTAACCCGAAGTTTAAAAACTGCCTGCACCACTTGCCAGTGTTACTGTTTCATGAGGCTTTTCTGTTTGTCCACCTAGATGGTAATCAGAGTACGCGAGAGCACATTTTATATACACTTTTCACCAGCAGTTAGGATGAGCTAAGCCAATAGTTGAGTAAGTAACTATTCTGAGTTCATTCGAAAAGGAGTTACCTAGTACAAACTCCTGCTTTAAGAAAAAAAATGATGAGACTTCCCCGGTGCTTCTGTGGCTAGGACTCCATGCCCCCCAATGCAGGGGACCTGGGGTTCGACCCCTTGTTGAGGAACTAGATCCCACATACCTCTTCACCACTGCCACCAGCTGCCTGAGTCAATGC